GGTAGGGCACAATTACCGAGGATACAGCCAGAAATGTTCTGGACTGTGCCTGCCTGGGGACTGAGGTTTCTCCTGAGCTCTTGCTCAGGGTGGCCCTGCTGGGTCCCAGGGTGGTCTGTGTTTAGCTGTGCTTGAACACTGTTGCCCACCAGGCTCAGTGACATGAATGAATGAAGGAATGAATGAGTGAATCAACAAGTATCCTCTTACAGCCCCCAGCCCCAGAACGCAGTGGACATGCAGAAGTGGCCTGTGTAACTGCAACACATGTGACATGGCCACACAACACTGGGTAATCCTGGACTGGGGCATGTTTAAGCACCACTGGGGAGTGAACAGGGGTGGTGCCCAGGCTGGGTATGCAGCAGGTACTCCATGGATGCTTATGGGGCAGGCCCATGAACTGGGAAGTGGGACTGGCAAATTCAGGCCTCTGAGCATCCTGTCCTCAGTAATTGGGGGCAGAGGGGCCCTCCATGGGGAATCAGTCTGGCTCCCTGGTTCCCAGTGTAGGAGGTTGTAGCCTCAGCCCCTTTCTCCACTGGGTTTATTTAGATAGCAGAGACAGACCCCCCAGAAATGGATCAGATTTCAGATTTGACAGAAATCAAAACAAACTTGGACACCTCTGCCAAACCTAGCACTCCCACTCCACACCCGATTCATTCCCCCCATGGGGACCTGACAGCCAGGCCTGCAGGAGGAGGGTGGTGGTCGCTATGGTAACCATGCAGGCCTTTGGCTGGCTCCTGGAGAGGCGGCTGGCCCGCTGGGCTTGCTTTGGCTTTGGGCATTGCCTCCTCTGTCCAGCCACTCTCCATCTGGGAGCTGGCAGGTGTGAGGGCCCCCCTGGCATGGTGGCTGCCCTGGTGACCCTGTCCTTTGAGGCCTTTTGAGATTTGAGGGTGCTTAGGGTGCAGGGTAGCTCTTGCTGGTCCTCTGCATGTCTGGGGCCCCCTGTGGCAAGTTCTCCCCCACCCCTGGACAGGCCTCCCTTCTCATGGCCTTGTGCGTTGCTCTTCCCCATAGGAGCTTTTGCCACCATGCCCAGATGGGCCTGGATGCCCAGCAGGGGCCTAGCCAGACTAGCTGGCAGCATGCTTGCTCATCTCTGCCCCTGACTGGCCTCCCTATGCCTGTGGCTGGGGTCCCCGGGAGGCGGAGACAGTGTGGGTGAGAGAAGAAAGCAAATACTCTACTCCGTGCCTCGGCTCCGCGCTGCAGGTGACAGAGTGTGCGGTTTGTGACCGATGCAAAGGCAGCAAGCTAGCGGTGACTCTGATCTGCCCCTGTCCCCTGCCTGGCCCTGGATCAATGTTTGTTGCCTCCATAGCAGCGTCTTTCTGGTGGGATGCCTGTCTGTGGGCTCTTGGCTGAGGTTCTGGTCTGACCCTGATCGTATCCAGGTCTAAATGTTTTTTTTTTCTTTAATATTTTTCATTTATTTATTTGAGAGACAGAAGAGATAGAGCATCTGACCCCGGGGTCAAGCCCCCAAAGCCCTGGTCCAAGCCAGAAACTCAGTCTGGGTTTCTCACAGGGGTGGTGGGGACCCAGTGACCTTGGCCAACAGTGCTATCTTCCTCAGGATCTGCGTTAAACAGGAATCTGGAACTGGGAGCTGCAGCCGGGCATTGAACCTGTGTCCTCTGCTTTGGGATGCGGGTGTCCTAGCTGGCCTCTTTCCCATAAGGTCATATGTCCACCTAAACGGATTGTTCTGGAAAGGATGAGAGCCAGTACATGTGCAGTGGACGTCTGGCGGTGGGGCATGTGGAGGCGTCTCTTTGTTTTCTACTCTAGGTGAGTTCGTGTGATCAGCAGCTGAAGCCAGTGTGGGACTCTCACTCCGTCCCTGGCCAGGTGCCTTTTTCTTTGCAACAAAACTAAAACATGTGAGACCCTGGCCCTGTTGCAAAGAGACAGAGCTCTGTGGCAAGAGCTCATGACTGTCGGGTTGGGGATTCCAGGGACTCCTCAGCTGCTTGTGTCGGTTTTGGTCATAGAGTCTAAACAAGATACGTTGTCCTGGCTGATCAGAAAGCTCCATGGCAAACCAGCTCTTAGAACATTCTAGAACCCTTCAGAAATGTTTGCCACCATTACTGTCATCAGTCCTGTTAAGCTGTTGCTTGGCATGCTGCAGTAACTCAGTAGATGCTCCTTAACTCTCTGGGGTCCCAAGTCTGGGGACCTTGGAAGACATGAGGAGCAGTCTGGGGCTGGGGAGTGGGGTGTGTAGGTCCAGACCATTCTGGAGGTGGGGCTGGTGGCCTCACCTTTGCTGAGCCTCTCTTTCTGCTCTGCACCCCTTGAGGTGGCTGCCTGAGGGGGCTCCAGTGTCTGGTGGCTGTTCCCAGCTGAGCTGTGACGCAGAGACCCCAACTGGGATGTCTGCTCAGGGACTGCTGGGTAGCCTGGGCAGGTCCCTGCCAGGTTACCGTCTGACAGAGCCTGCCAGGAGGGTGCAGGTGGCCCGAGGGGGCGGAGTGGCTGCCAAGACCCACTGCCTTCGTGGAGTGAGCCCTGGAGCCCCTGCTGGCCCCCAGACGGTTCCAGGAAGTTGGCTTTGCCTGCCAAGCTCCCCATTCGACCTGGGCCAGGCCCTGGCCTCCCTCGCCGTCCCGCTGTTGCCCATTGTTGGTCTCCGCTTGCAGGCAGGCGGGTGCCTTTGATCCCCGAACTCCTGGCCGTGATGCGGTTTCTAGCAGCTTCTGAAACTCCTGGGTTCCGGAAGGGCCTCTGTCATCTGGGATTCCCCCCTTGTGCCTCGGGCCTCCTGGGGTCCAGAGCGCGTGTACGTGTGTGCCCAGGAGATCTTGGGAGCTAAGCGGTGTGGAGATGAAAGCCGCTCTCGCTATGCCCTCGGGGACTCTGTGGGCAGGCTGGCTGAGGTGTGGAGGTAGCAGCCTAGAGTGACAGCCTGTGTTGCTCATGGGCAGTGTGACCTTGGGCACCATCAGCTCACTAACCATCTTGTGGGGTGGCTGCATTTGAGACCCTTCTGGCTCCTGATTCCAGCTCCCTGTTAACACAGACCCTGTGAGTCAGGATGATGGCTCAGGTAGTTGGGTCTCTAGGTGGAGTTCCAGCTCCCAGTTGCAGCCCCACCCTGGCTGCTGCGGACATCTGGGGTGTGAGCTGGCAGCTGGAAGCTCTCCTTGTCTCTCTTGCTGCCTCTCAGACACGTAAGACAAAGTCTAGTGGTGGCACACGAGCTTCGGGACCACAAGAACAGGTGTATCTCACCTCTGCCCTTTCCCAGTACGGAGCGTTGGAGAGACCTAACCCCTTGTGCCTTATTTTCTACTCTTGAAAGTGAGGCTGTGAGGACTCAGGGAGGCAGCACCTGCAGCAGGCTCACTCAGCATCAGGCACAGCGGGTACAGCTTGTGGCATGGGGTAGCCAGAGGTCAGAGCTCAAAGTTCAGAGAGGCTGTCGCAGGCTCCAGGAGAAAGACTGGGGCTGGCCTGAGGGTCCGTGGAAGTCCAAGGCAGGGGCAGGCCAGACCTCACCTCGGGGTGCACCAGGCCAGGTGTGGCTCTCAGCTTTGGTGCTTCCCAATAGTCAGAAGAGGCTCTAAATTGCTCTGCACCCCAGTTTTCCTTATCTGTGAAATGGGTCTGCTGACCCCTCCTCCCAATGCACTGCCTAGGTCCCTGGGGAGGAAGCAGTTGGGGCACTTTGGGCCCTGGGCCCTGGGGAAAGCCCCCGCTGAGTAAACTTTGACTTTGAAACAGGCAGGAAGGGCAGAAGGGGCAGAGGCTGCGGCCAGGAGGAGGGGGGGAGCGGGAGGATGGGGAGGTTCGCTGGTAATTAGAACATTTGAACTTCAGAAAAGTTAATTAGTGATGAAGCCGCTGCCGGAGTGATGCTCAGATGAGAAGGGGGCTCTGGCAGCCACTGAGATTAATTACAGGGTTTGGTGGGAGAGTGGCAGCAGGGTCGGGGTGGCAGGGGGGAAGGAAGGAGCCGGCCCTAGTCAGGGTCTGGGGCGGGGGCAAGGGAAGAAGGCACCCAAGGTGTGTAAGGGCCTGGGGGTGGGAGAGAGGCTGTTGCCATGGAAACCAGGCTCCTCTCCCCGCAGGCAGGAGCTGTGCACTTCACTCCTGGTGGGGTCTGGTTGGTGGGCACGGCTGGGCAGCACAGGGTATCAGAGTGCACCCAGCAAACACGAGTGGTGCTCAGTTGGCATTAGGTCACAGCTGCCCTTGGTGATGAGCGTGTTGGGAATGGACAAGAGTGACAGGTGCTTGGAGAGAGGGCAAGGCCAGCCAGGGCAGACAGGCTGGGGGCTTCAGAGGGAGGGATGAAAGCCGAGGGTGCTGGGAGACAGCTCATGTAGAGGCCCTGGGGTGGCTGGGGAGGTCTGAGCTGACAGCTGGGGGGAACTTGGCGCTGGCCGGTGCTGACGACCCCAGAGCTGCCTTCCCTTCTCCTGACGTGCATTTCTGGGGACAGAGTTGTGGGTGGTGTCTTCAGTCAGAAGCAGGTGTCGAGGCCTGGAAGTCTGCCCCACAGTCTGATTGTGCCCGTTCATGCTGTGTGTGGCTCAGGCTGCCAAACCTTTGTTACTATCCTCTCACCAAAATGTCTGCACACATCCCGTGAGCCGAGGGCCTGCCCCGGGCTGCAGACGCTTGGGGTCTGCAGACACTTGCCTGGTACAGGGTCTGGGATCTAGCTGATCTCAGCTGCCTAGCAGGGCCCTCTGCCATCAGACTGGGGGAGGGAGGGTGAAGTGGTCAGAGAGAGGAGGCAGGGACAGGAGGAAGAGGTCAGGGGTGGGGAGGTGAGGGGGTGTCCAGCTTTGCAAGTGGAGTCCTCTCCTTAAGGGGAGGGAGGAGCTGGGGTCAGGGGGTGGCTGCTGGGGGTGGCCCCGTCTGTTGACATGGATGGGCTGGCTCTAAGATCTAGGGAGACTTGGGGGTTGACCCTGTTCCGTTCTGGAGTGCCCGCCCGTGTCTGTGGTGGCTTTGCCCTTAACTTGCCTGTGCACATGGTTTGAGTGTGTCAGCATGCTGGTGATCTTGCTGAACTGTGTGACCCTGGGCATGTACCAGCCCTGTGACGACATGGACTGCCTGTCGGACCGCTGCAAGATCCTGCAGGTAAGTCCCTGGCAACCCCCTTACCACTCCCCCCGACCAAGCCCCTCTCATTCCTCATCTCCACGCAGGCCCTCTGCCCGGACCCCCACCATCTCCTTCTGCCAGCCTCCACCTCCTCTAACGTACAGGTGCACTCCTCCTTTGACACAACCTGCCTGGATTCCCCCAGCTCTGAGTAAAGGGTGGGCGGCCTCCAGGTGCTCCCAGCTCTCGTTTTCCCAGTTCCCACATGGGGGCCATGACCTTAGTGCTTTCCGGGCACCTGTGCAGGTCTGTGCACCTGTGGTGCGAGCTGCCAGGGCCAGCCCCACCTTACAGGAGGACAGGTTTCTCTGGAGGAGGCCTTGTCCCCTGCCTCTCGGGGTTCCCAGGACTGTGGTTTCCAAGCAGCACTGAGCTCCTGGGACCCCTGCTAAGTATTGGACCCCTGGGGTGGGCCTTTGGTCTAACAGCTGAGATGCTGGTTAAGACTCCTGCACCCCCATTGGAGAACCTGGGTTCATCCCCCAGCTCGGGCCCCTGACTCTGGCTTCCTGCTGCTGGGGACCCTGGGAGGCTACAGTGATGGTGGCTCAGGGAACAGGGTTCCTGCCGCCCAGGGGAGCCCTGGGTGGAGTTCTGGGTCTGGCTTAGCCCAGCCCAGTACTGGCCAGTTCAAGCATTTAGGGAATGAAGCAGAAGATGATTGCTCCCAATCTCTGTCCGTCTCTGTCTGCTTCTCAGATCACAGCAGCACAAACGCAAAAAGTGCCCCCGGGTCCCTCACCCAGCCCGTACTAGCTGGGGGTCTGGGTCAAGGGAGTAGCAGCCTGTCTCATAGCTGAGGCCCCAGGGGAATGGCTGACTCCCAGCTCCTCCCGCCTTCATCCTGGCACGCGGGAGCTCTGACATTCTTGAGTTGAATTGGCTACAGCTCTCCTTGTTTCTGGCGGAGGTCTAGGAGTATACATACCAGGCTTGGGAGAAGCCGGTGCTGGCTGTTACGGGGGTGGGAGAGATCCCGGGCCCCACCCTGAGTCAGGATCCTTTCCCTGGGGAGACAGAGTGGTCTGCATTGCCTGGCCAAGTTCACGGCTCCTCTCTGAGGGCCTCAGTCTCCTCCCGAGGGTGGACCGTGCTGCACCAGGTCCTGAGGGTCCTCCCCAGGCCACCGGTGGCTCTGACCCCCGAGACCTGTTCTGCTGCTTGTCTCCCTTCTCCTCTGCCCACTGTAGGTCTTTGATGATTTCATCTTTATCTTCTTCGCCATGGAGATGGTGCTCAAGATGGTGGCCCTGGGCATTTTTGGCAAGAAGTGCTACCTTGGGGACACGTGGAACCGCCTGGACTTCTTCATCGTCATGGCCGGGTGAGCGGCGTGGGCCCGACCCGCGGTGCTGGCGGAGCGGCCATGTGTTCAGCTGGGATGAGCTGGGAGGGGTCTGGGTGGGCGGACACGCCTTTGCCCCTCCTGTGTGGCCAGCTGCTCCTGGGCTCTGTCTCCCAGCTGGATTGCTGGGTGACCTTGAGAAGGCCAAGGGCCCTGTCTAGGCCTCTGTTTTCTCATCTGTAACATGGGAGCTCCAATTACGGCTCCCTCAGAGTGAGCACTCAGCAAATGAGAGCTGTTATTGTTGTTACCCTAGATCCCCAAAAGTGACAGAGGGGGAGCCTGGGCCCCAAACTGTTTCAACCAAGACCTGAGCCATGGTCCCAGAGGCCAGAGGGCACCATGGCCCAGCATGCAGCTGCTCGGGGCCCGCTCTGTGCTTTGTCCCTGCTTTTCTGATCACAGCCATGCATGGTCCACCCATCAGGCAGGGCTGGTAGGAGTGCCCAGTCCTGGGGAGGGGCAGAGGGGGCAGTCTCACCCATGAAGGTCTCTCCCAGCTGTGGCATGGTGGACACGGGCCAAGTGTTACAATTTGCCTTTAGGATAGGAGCCAGGTTGAGTCAATCTGACTTAGGGGTTCCAGTGCTTTCTTGGGGTGATGGCACAGCGGAGGAAGCAGCAGCTGTTGCCGGGGATGGGACCACATGGCAGAGGACAGGCTGGAGGCCATGGTGCGTGTGTGTGAGTGTGAGTTCACGTGTGTGTACTTGGGTGTGTGAAGAAGAGGCCTCGAGGCAGCCCAGTGCCTGGCTGAGATGAGGAACCAGCGGGTGGCGGTCACACCAGGAGTGTGTGTGGAATCCCACGGGCTTGTCCTAGCATGAGGGGGTCCATCTCACTGGGCCTTTTCAGAGGGACGGTGGCCTCCCCTTGGTGTCACGTTCACTTTCTCAGCGGCATTGTCCCCTGCTCCCCAGGCGTCACCAGCAGCCTGGCCAGCTTTGTTTGGTTTCTCATGTTCCCTGGGGTCCCCTCGGTCAAGTTCGTGTGAGTTCTTTTGGTTTGGCAGGAGGACATCCTGAGGCGTTGGGCACCTGTCCGGCTGCACTTGTGTCCCTGTGGTCCCCTGGGTGGGGGGAGGACAGTGTGGGCATGGCTTCTCTCACTAGCAGCCTGCATGGACGGCGTAGGGTAGCTGGGTGGCCCGGGTCCTGTTCCCCCTCTCAGGAGACAACCTGTTCTCTCCTGGCCATTTTGTACAGGTTGTCTTCATCTTCAGAGTTCAGACCTTGCTCTGGGGCAGGCCTGGGGTGGAGGGGGTTTGCTTTGCAAACCCAAGACATGCATAATCATTCAGCTCACTACTCCTGCTTTTAAATGCATTTTCCATGGTCTTCCCTCCCCCCGGTTCAAAGATATATTACTCTACTGGAAAGGCAAAGTGCCAGAGAGAGATATCTTCCATCTGCTAGAGAAAGAGAGATCCTCCATCCGCTGATTCATTTCCCAGATAACCTCAATGGCCAGGGCTGGGCCAGGCCGAACCCAGCAGCTTCTTCCAGCTCTCCCACGCGGGGGCCAGTGGGCCATCTTCTGCTGCTCTCCCAGGCACATTAGCATGGAACTGGATTGGAAGTAGAGCAACCAGAAGTGGAATTAGTGCCCCTATGGGATGCCAGCATCACAGGCCATGGATGAACCACTGTGCCACAATGCTGGCCCCTCCCATGAAGTTTTAAACATTGATTTTGTCAAGAGGCAGAGAGAGGAGGAAAGAGTGCAAGAGCGAGCGATCTCTCATTGGCTGCTTCCCTTCTCAGGTGTCTCCCAGGGAGGGCGCTGAGACAGGAGCTCCTTAGGTGCTCCTCGAGGGGGCAGGAGCCTGGCTGAGCCGCCAGCTGCCGCCCGGTGAATTCAGCAGCAGAAAGCTACGTCAGGAGCAGGGCCGGGCACGCTGCTGCATACGACACAGGCGTGCAGCTGGCATCTTACCCACCAGTCCAAACACCTGGCCTTCCTTCCGCCCCTTCTTGAGTTCTCGCTCCTCTACTTTCTTTTTGCAGAATTGCCACCAAGCGCCTTGCACGTGTGTCTTTTCTCCAGGACCTTCCCAAATGCCCTGCCTGGGTCTCTGAGTCAGGGATGGTCCCTTCCCAAGCATGGTCATTTCAACTCTGCCGGCTCCGGCTGGGGTCAGCCGACTTCCCCAGCTGCTTCTGATTCTTGAGGAGAGGCCCAGCAGGCCAGTGACCCAGCAGAGATGGAGAGTTTGGAAGTGGAAAGAGAGGGAGAGAGGCTAGACTTGGAATTGCTTAAAGACCTGTGCAGGGCAGTAACGGCTGTGTGGGGTTTCTCTTGTTGGCTGGGCAAAAACCGTTTGCATTCTGGCCAGATCCAGACCTGCACATTAATGTCGGATTTTATGGCATCTACACCAATAATGAGTGGGAAACAGTGAATTGAGCCAAGGTGTCGTCCTCTGGCTGGTGAGATAATCCTTAAGCAAGTCTTCTGCTGCAGAACGGCATTGCAATACCACTGCTTCTCCAAACGTCAGGGTGATTTTTGTCCTAACAACTGTGGTCCCACCCACCACATCCCTCGGGCCCCACCCTGCCTTTGGGGGTGCCACGGTCCCTCTGTTGCTGACAGATTGTTCCCCCACCTGTCTCCCTGCTCTTCTTTCTGAATCAGGATGATGGGGTCTGTGAGCTGAGCAGCCTGGCTTTGGTGGTGCGGGCTGAGGTCTCAGCGTGGTCTTATCCTGGGGTTGGGTGCGGAGGGCTGCAGCCTGTGTCCTCCGGGGACAGGGAGGACTGCGCATGGGGCTGACACACAAGGACTGTGTTCAGGCAGGCCCCATGCTTGCTTCCACGCCCTGCTGTTAGAGCTGGCCAGGCACAGGGGCATGGAGGAAGTGGGATGGGAGGGTGGAGAGTGGAAGGAGGTGTGGGAGCCAGGGGGCTGGCAGGGGGCCGGCAGGGGGCCGGGAGGGGGCCTGCAGCAAGTGCAGCAGACTCAGCTCTGGTCTTGGGATACTTGTAGTGGTCATGCTAAATAAGGTGTCCTCCCTCTGCATGCCAGCATGCCCAAGGGACTCACGTGGGCATGCGTGGGCTTCAGTCCCCGGTCTGGGAACAGACTCCCAAGCACCTGATGATGGCATTTGGGATGAAGAGATTCAGTGGCCTTGGCCCAGTACGGTACGGGAGACCAGCACGTTGTCTGGGGGCCATGTGACCCCACTCCACCTCACCAGGTCACAGAGCTTCAAGGGCTCTCCCATCTGGAACTCAAAGCAGGTGATTTTTACAAACCAAAAGAGTAAACATTGGCGTTTTGGCTGGTAACCGTGCCTCCCAGTGGCCTCCGGGGCCCTGGACTCAGCCGCTTTCGCTGCCTCTGCTCTGTGGGCTTGTTCGGCCAGGGCGGGTTGTTGCAGCTCCTCCGATTGCTGGCATCTCACCAGAGGCTTTTCTGCAGGGTGTGCCAAAGCCTGGGCAGCCACCTCTCTCCGTGTGTAGGTGACCGCACCACGCCGTCTTACTTAAGCCACATTCCTGCCTTTGTGCATTAGGAGGTCATGAAATATTCAAGGATACCGTTGTTGAACTTGAGATAGTCTTGATCCGTCCCTTGCCCTCTGTGCATTACCTGGGTGACTATCTCCTCCCCCAGGCGGTAACCCTGGCCGGCCGCTGCTGCTAGCTGAGGGCGGGAGGTGGGAGGATGGTGGGGTAGGGGTGTAGACCCCTTTGTTAAAAGCTTCCCTAAGAATTCCGATGTCTGGTCTCAGGGGAGAGAGGGGCCTTAGGCTGGAGGTTGTAGGAGAAGTTCCTTTCCTCCTCCAACCAGTGGCGCAGGTTCAGATGACAAACGGATAATACCACCTGCTCCTCAAACATGGAGGGCCCAGCCTTTTCGCCCCTTCTCAGCATTCCTTCTTCCTTGCTGTTCAGGGTCCTTGAGACACGCGTTCAAATGTAGGCTCTGTAGGGCTCGCTGCAGGAATCTGACCCAGTACGTGTAGAGGGGTCTAGCATTTACATTTTCCCCAGGCACTGGGATGGCCCCTTGGAGAAAGGTCATTTGATTCACTCCTGCCACTGCAGGGTGAGGCCCACATCTGGAGCCACAGGAAAGGGGAGGAGTTGGGAGGGGTCTTCGCCTCCACCTCTGTGACCAGGGCCTGAATGTGCTCTGGGGCAGGTAGCGTCCAGGACAGTGTCGACTCCACAATTCAGTGCCTCACTGGCCACAAGGACATGGACGGGTCAGGGTGTGCAGGGAGCAGCTCCCCGCCTTCCCTCCTGCAGCTTCTGGGAAGGGAAGGAAACGCTGGCTGGTTCCCCTCTTCCCCCAGCCCAGGAGAGTGTTCTGAAAAACCCAGGGCAAGGTGGGCATGTCCCCTCTGTGCTGTGAGAGCTCTTTGTCCACAGTGCTCCATCAAAGGAAACCCAAGGCTGTTAGGCTTTGTCCAGGGGTGGGATAAAAATAAGGGCATCCACTCTGCTGAGTGCTTGCCGCGGCCTGAGCTTGTTTAATCTTCTGATGAGCTCCGCGAGCCAGAGGCTGCGAGTGGTCACTTCTGCCTCTCCTAGGAGGAGCCCCGTGGGGAGTGGCTTGCCCAAGGTCACTGGCTGTTCATGTGTGGAGCCAGGGGATCACCCGGATCCTGTGTCCCTTGCTTGTTTGTCGGGTGTCCTTGTCAGGAGTGTGTTTGGCTGCAGGTAATGGGAACTCCACCCCTCGGTGAGCCTGAGCAAATCCTTGGCAGAGTTTTTCTGACAAATGACTGAGGTTAGAGGTTAAGGGCAGTAGCTCTGCATGGTGGGGGCTGCCAGACGGCAGCTGCTGACAGAAGAGGCTGGGAGAGAGAGTGAAGGGATGGGGAGGGCCATGCCAGCCGTGCCCGCCCACTAGGGCCAGAAAAAGAGTGGTGTCTTGCTCAGCTCCCTCCGCTTCCCTGCACCCGTGGCCAGAAGTGAGTCTCCTGGCCACCCTTATCTGGGCCGTCTTGGCTAAGCCGACACTCT